GGGCATACAGTCGCGGCCTTGCCAACTCACTGAACCGACCGGAAGCGATGCTCAAAGGTCAAGGGGCTCAGACAGGTCCTGGAGTCCCACCGGGTTGGACTCCTCCAGTTAAATATTGCACAAGTATCCAGTATTCCCCATACAATTTATCAAATAGCCTTTTTCTTCTGTAAGCCTCTTTTCTAGCTAAGGGTAGAGGGGAGTGAGGAGTTGCATACCCTTGGGCTCAGGATTGATCAGTATCTTTCTTGGGGTTTGTTTCTTCCAGTGAGTTTTTTTTTTTTTTTTTTTTTTTTTATAGATTTTTGCTATAGGGCAGTGTGCTCATTTGGAAAGACACAGAGAGACAGAAAGTGAGAAATCACCCCCTAGGGGGGTATGGTCATGCCACAATCCCTTCTCCATTTTTCTGTCGGGATCTTGGGCTTGGACGCACATGCGCCTGGCGTGAGTTTTAAGCCTCCAGGTCCGGGATTCAAACCGCAGTCAACTATGTGGAAGTCCAGTAACGTAACCCTTACACTGCTGGTCTCTTACCCGTGAGCTTTAAGGGTTCTGCATGGAGTGAAATAACTCACCAGTAGTGCATTGAACTACGTGTTACCCTTTAGCCTTGGTGTCGGGAATCCCGAAGGAACGCATGACCTGGAGTGTGACTCAGCACCAGCCTGACATGCTCTCTGGCATACTGGCCACTGCCACTCAGACCCTGCACTGACACAGGTGCCAGCCAACCCCAACATTGGTTTTGGCTTAAATGTTAGACTATCTTGGAGACTTCTTGGGAACAGGTGAGTCTTCTTTCCCCCTAACTCTTCTCCCTTGACAACACCAACACCAGTAATATTTCTAGTAGGAAACACTTTGGAGGTCTGGGTGCAGGGGGAGACCTAAGGATGTTGATTACCACCTGCAGCCTGGGCTTTGTCACCTGGATGCCTTCAGGAGTGGCAATTCAGAGATGAGTCCAGAGAGTCTTGGCAATTCAGATGGAGAGGGTTTATGAAATGCGACAGGGTCCAAGGGTATCGACATTTTGGGCCTGCACAGTAGACCCTCCCTGAAGATAAAGGGGCTGTGTGAGTGAGAAGAGGGTTTATGATGAAGAGGGAGAATCAGACCCCCTTGTTTGGCATGCAGAATAGGCAAAGATGGACTATGTTATCCGAAGCAGCTCTCTGGATAAAAAACAACAAAATAAAGTACTTATGCAGATGTTCCCTGGGCCAGCCAGTGGTGTGGTGGTTAAGAAGGCTGGACCCTACATGACCAACTACACAGTGTGAGTCCCAGATCTGATGGCTTGAAAAACACACTGGGTGTTGTGTGTGTGTGTGTGTGTGTGCCCAGAAGGGATTGCGGCATGGTCATCTTCCCTGTGGGGGATGCTCACTTTCTCTCTCTCTTGCTCTGTCTGTCCAGAAAACATACATACCCTATTGCAAATTTTAAAAAATTATAAAAAAAGAAGGGCCGGCACGTGGCATGGTGGTTAGAGTGCTGGACTCTCACATGGCCAACTACGATTTGAGTCCTGGACCTGGTGGTGTGGTTTCTCACTTTCCTTCTTGCTCTCTTTCTCCCTCTGTCTGCCTCTTTCTGTGAATGCATGTGTACCATAGCAAACAACAATAATAATAAATAAAATTAAATAATTTAAGAAGAATGATTGTTTTTCTGATTTTTCTCTAATAAATCATACTTATGAAGGGATCTGTTGCTTTAGGCTACCAAGTACACAAACATCCAGCTTAATTTGGGGAAATCCTGAGCTAGGTGGGTCCATCCTAGGCAGTGCAGTCGACCGAGTACTGGACTTAGTGCTGGAAGCTCCATGGTAACCATAGGTTCAAATCCCTGGTTCAGTAGACCTGAAAAACGCCAGATGCATGTGCGTATTTCCCAAGATCCCGACAAACTGGAGGACTGGAGGAAGGGGCTAATGGCGTAGTCAGATACTGTCAAGTGTTCCTTTCTCTCCCTCCTGTGCATGTGTATACACGCACACACTATTCTACGAGTAAAATTTTTTAAAAAGAGAGAGAGGTAAGTGGGAAATACAGCTTTACTCCCCATAATGGAAACTGAATGGAGGCAGTTTTGTCGTCTGGTTCTCTGGCAGCTAGCCTGTGAACTGCTGGCCTAAACTGGACCAATTAGATGTTAATCTGCACTGGTCGTTGCAAAAAGCTGACGAGTGATTGGTGAGGGGAGTGGCAGCAATACTTGTATCTTGCTACAGAGGTATGGGCTGCAGTGTCCATGCCCAGGGCCGACAATGATGGTGGTGCTGGCGGTGGGTCAAGAAGCAACTCTCCATTTGGGGCATCATTTAAACGACAATTCGGGCCACATAAATCCTCTGAGTTACTTAATACCGTTCCAATAAACACATTTCTCTTCAGTTAACTAGAGTTGGTTTCTCTTCCTTGTAACCCAAGAATACAAGTTGGTGCCGGGGGTAGGTTTAGACAACAGACTCAGAGAATGAAGGAATCCAGGATCGGCTGGCTGCCTCGTTGGGACTGAAGACAGTGAAACCCAGTTAGTAAATAATAAAGGCTAGGATTCATACCACCCGGTGATGAAATAGCCGATGAAATGATCGCCAGCAGTCACTGAGTATGGAGTGTCTATTGAAAGCAAGATTTTAGGGGGGGTAAAGTAACCACAATAAAGAATGGCAAAAGGAACACGAGGAAACGGGATGATGCAGCTTGCAGAGGTGGAGGGCAAACTCAAACCCCTGAGATCTTGACTCGAGGCATGGATGGAAACCTGGAGGTGCTTTATGACTTTATGTCAGAGCTGAGATAGCCAAAGCTGAAAGTCACAGTTTATCCTGTGACCGACAGACTATAACAGCAGCTGAATTTCAGACTTTTGCCAGATCTCTCCCATGAAAGTCAGAGTGCTGATGGGGGAAAGA